AACAATCAGGCAGAGTTCTTATGTAGAACGGATCCACTCCTTGGTCGATAAGCACTAATAGGATTGTAATCGTTTCGACGCTCTCAAATGCTTTTTCACCGCCGACAAACATCTATATCTTCATTACCAAGAAGGAGTTGCTCAAAAAGAAAACTGGAGCTTGATACAACTGCAACACATCTAACACAGCTGATAATAAATGCCAGTTGTGGTAGATCTTTGCAGGAAGGTTTACAGTGATGCATGAACAAAAGCCTTTGGAAGCTGCTCAACAACGATCCAATGTTAAGAAGTGCTGTCGGGAGCTTTGCGACTATAAGGTTCCGTTATCCACTCTGTTGAACCATGATGGGACTATCACTAGATCCCATCAATATATGGAATTGATAACGAAATGGTTCTATACCAATCTTTTCCGCTTCACAGTCTCTATCGCGGATCCCGAAATCCTCACTAGTGAAAAACCGCCCAGAAATCCTTTTAAAGTTTGAGTTGCCATAGAAAGCAACAACGGAGGCACAACTCCAGTACTCGATAATATCACCGCGGCTTCCTCAGAGATGAATACCACAAATTAGAATTACTTCTCGCAACTCATGTGACATGGTATTTCCAGAAGAAGAAAATCTTAGACCAGTGGAGAACGTCGCGCACGGTCATCTTGTCTAAGAAATATGATAGAAGGGATCTTCGTAACTATCGTCCGATATGCTTGCTGAATGTGCTCTACAAGCTGTTGGCGAAGATTATCCTTTAGCGCATATCAGACGAGAGGTATAACCAGTAGAGCAAAGCAAGATTTCGATAGGGATTTTGCTGCATGGACACTTCCAAACAGTGTCCAGGGTCATACATGTTGTAGGCAATACTACCTGCCTCTAGCCCCTGCGACAACTGTAGAGAACGTCATGAGGAAAATTCAATGGCATAGCACGGGAATGAAAACTTGTGGTCAGCAACTAAGCTATTTTCTATTTGCCGATAACATCATCATCTTATGGACATGTACGATGGTAGAAACATAAAAGGTAACCGGTGAGCTCAATGAAGTGGACGAAAAGATGGGACTGCGCACAAATTTTTAAAAAACCCAGTTCATGAAGAACCAATGGTGCGAATGTGAACAAATCGAAATGGATGGTTATCGAATTACAGAGACTACCTAGTACGTGTACCCTGGGCGCTCAATGAAAACGGAGAATAGCAGAGAGAATTAGTTGGACAGAAAAAGAGAAGCCTCGTGGGTCACATCCGGGCTCTTTAGGGAAGCCACAGACCAACCAACGGTTGCGAAACTCCGAGTTCAGTTTTTTTGAATTGACGATTTTCCCAGCGCTCTATTATGCACCAGAGACGTGGGTTTATCCTGGAACCGCGTGGAAAATTGACATCATACACAGAGCGCTCGAACGATATATCAGATATAGCCGGCTCACGCAAAATCTAACCGGAATTCACAATTCAGGTCTTCGAAACCTATCTCATATTCGAGATCCAGGACATATATCGATGGTAAAACGTAGATGGTCAGGCCATATAAGAAAAAGAACTGACGAATAATTGGAAAGAGCCGTGGAGTTGATCCCATCAAGATGTGATGGTCCTCTTTAAAGGGACAGAGCGGACGTGTTTGTAAAACCAATCTGAGCGTGTATCGCTGCAATAAATCGTCCCGTTCTCGTAAAACTCTTGTCGCCTTTTAATTTTCGGCAACAAAGGCATAGATTTCAACTTAATACAAATGTTAATCGGTATAAAAATCAATAAGATCTACATTTCTTTACTAATGAGATGTAAACTCATCCATCCCATCACAGTAGAATTCTAAGCTGTTGCTGAGGCAGTTCTTTGTTGACTGGTGACAAGTCAATTGAGTATTCTGAATAATCAAGAGCTTCGAAACTCAATTCGTTCAACTTATGTGGTCTTGGTTGCGTACCCCGTCTTTGGGCATCACATTAAACAGCATTCGCGAATTTTGATTGACCAGATGTATTGGGTCAGTGCTGCTACCCTTCCAGATAGGTCTGGTGCCAATTTAGCGACCCCGAAGGGATGGAAGGCTTAGTGAACCTTGGGTGCAGGAATCGATCGTGTGTGTATTGCAGGACGCCTCAAACCGCTGGGCTACACGCACCCTTCGAAAAGCGATAGTGAAGTTGTTTCTAAATAAGTATTGGAGCGAAATATCATCGTTTATGAGCACAGATATCGACCGAAGATGCTTATCAATGGGAAATTTCAGCAAACCAGGTGAGAAGCGAGCAACGAACAGTACAAGTCGGTCAACATTGCCGCAACTCTCCACTTGAAGCTGTACGTGCGCACAGCGCGATCGTTAATATCACGACTGGACGTCAGCTGTCGCGTGCTGGGCGTGAGTGCGACGGGAACATCGCGGCCACGAGGCGTCGAGGTCGCTGCCTTCCACGCTGCTTCCGCCGTCCGTACACCGGTCTCATGCGACATTCGTATGGTTGGTCGATTGCTTTCGCGGAAAGCCGGCGTCGTCCGGGCGTTTCCGTCGTCGTCGTTGTTGTGGTTGTTGTCGTCGTCGCTATCGCTGTCGGCCAGACATCGACCGGCGCTGTTGTGCCCTTCAACCGTCACGATGCCGGTGGCCCACAACCAAACCCTTGCTGAAGACGCGTCACAACCTCTCTACCAGGTGTGTGCATCGGCAATAATTCGTTATTTCTCTTATGTTCCATCAGTAGTGTTTTCGCTGTGCTGTTACTATGCTGTTTTATTGTTATATGTTGCTGATGGGAGCGTTAGGTAGAAAACTAGCTGAGAGAAACGCAGAGCAAGGGCCTCAGTGGTGCAGTGTGTAATACGCGAACCGCCGGAAAGTGTAATCATGGTTCGATCTGGACTCGGGTCCAAGTTTATATATAATATCTCAGCATCGTTGTAGTTGAATATCTTTTGAATTTGAATATCTCAGCATCGTTGTAGTTGTACTTCACATCACACCTTGCCGTGAAAAATTATAGCGGGCAGCAAATAGAAGGTTAACATTGTGCTGTTCCTTTTTTGGATAGGGATCCCATCGGAGTAACGTTTTGTCTCTCGTCCAAGGTACAACTTACGAGCCGAGTGTTGTGTCATTTGCGTCACGTGTTATCGCGCTGTTCACAAAATAACTCGAACCACACCCAAGAAGTTTCTGCACTCTTCATTGATATGCTAACGCAAGGATGGTATCAGATTTTATTAGACTAAAGTTTCGTCGTCGTTTTATTCTTCACGGCTTGGATGATCCGAGTCAATGGTCCACAGTCGTTTCGTCCCTGCTTTGCGAGTCCCTTTAGTAGTGCCGAGTCTCGTACGAAAAGACATCGTGAAGTGAGGTTGCTTCACTCGAGTGGTGCTCCACACGAGGAGATTCAACTCGATACTACTACAAAGACCCAAATGGCGAGGATGAAGAACTATGGACCGTTGGCTCAGGTCATCGTTGCTCTGAAGGGGACGAACACGTCGAGACGTTAGCCTGATAAAATCTGACACCGTCTTCGTGCTACCTTATCACTGAAAGAAAGTAGACATTGACTGCTCATACTGAGGTTAAATCGTCTTCTTAACGTACCAAAGTTGCTTACTGAGTTTTGCTCTATCAGTATATCACGCCCGGGGCGAATTAGGGAAATGCATCTGATGCGAAAATAATGGGTGTTTTCAACTTTATACCAACATACCGCAGTTCATCTTCTACATTATTACTTACTTGGATATTTGGACGGCCCATCATCACTGGTTGTGCGGGCCCCAGCACATCTCATCATTGTTTCCCTAGAGTCCCAAGGTCAACGTGGCCAAAGTCTGCCCCAGGTCTTCACCACCACAGGCAGTCGCCGCCCTTGTGGATAAGAGGTAGATTTACCACCATGCGACTGGTTTGGTACCTGGACGATGACGGGTCCTGGTATTGGTTTACTCTTAGCTGCCCTTCCTGATGGAAACGCCGGTCTCCTTCTCAGCTTGGGAGACCCTGTTGGAGGGATGAATCCCACCGCTGTACATCTCAGCCTGACACTCAGGAACACCTCCCAGCCACGATGAAGCGTTAAACCTTTGGGAGGCTTCTATATCATTAGTTGGAGTAAAAGCCATCCGGAATCTACAGATCTTTGCTTACAAGACACAAGTAATCGGAATACAAACTTTATGTAGAGTAACAAAATAACTGATAGTCATTTACAACCACAACGTTGCTGAGATATTTGCAAAACTCTGGACCGCAGGTGTCTATGGTATTGTCCTTTCCGGGGAGTAACGCGTTCACCACCACACCATGCGGGTCCTTCGCTTCGCCTGTCTCTCAGCTATTTCTATCGATCTTTTTGCCACAGCAATCACCCGTCAGCGGGGTTGATCCGGGGAGCGCAAATCGGCATAGAACCTAGTTAAGCTATGGCTGTAGTTGAAATCACAATGTTTAACCCGCATGGTTTGGTGGTGAACGCGTTACTCCCCGGAAAGGACAATAGCGCGTTCGTTCTCCACCATAGACACCTGCGGTCCAGAGTTTTGCAAATATCTCAGCAACGTTGTGGTTGTATTTCGCTTAGTAACCTGCCATGAAAATTATAGAAGGCAGAAAACAATACGCTAAACATTGTAATAGTCATTTACTCCAGAAAGTCCGTATTTTAATTTTGTGGAATAGCTTAGTTTGTATCACTTAGGCAGAGATTTGAAGGTTTTAATGGTTTTTGTTTCGCCCGATAAGGCCTAATGCGAGCTGAGATGAGTTGAAGGTTGAAAACGGCCATCATTTCCCCAACAAATGCAGTAGGGGCTTTTCAGTTGGGCATTTTTATATCGGGCTTTCAGAAGCTTCGCTTAGAAGAATACCTGTCCCTGGAGCAGTCGTCTGCTAGTCCTCGGATTGAAGAACGGTTGGCTTTCTGTGGCTATAGTAGTATGGAATTATCGATATCTTCTAACAGTAATAGATGGTAGTTTGCTCCAACTAACAATTTGTTAACGGATTTTTGTCTTACGCATTTACGTTCCCGCGTATCCCGATACAGTGGAATCGGGTAAGCTTGTTGTTTGTAAATGTTTCTTTCTGTTGTACTTGTTATGAAAATTAACTTCGTTCTGAGACCTCGTTTATTCCATTCAGTGTCGGGATAAAAAGTAGACTTCATCTTCAGTAAACTACATCTTCTTGCAGTCCTGTGATTGTATAAGTTTTGGGAGATTAACCGTTTCAGTCAGAGCTTTATTTTTTTCTGGGTTGCATGGATTGTATTCGTGTTTGTGGAATATTTTTGTTTTCTGCGACTGATTTTACACATTTTCAAGTCGGCGATTCTTCACTTGAACGCACTTCAATCAAATGTGGAGCTGCTTCAAAAACTTCGAGAGAAACGTCACCTGCATCAGGAGACGAACATTTCTGATACAATCGCTAGGCTGAAGAAATGTGGAATAGAAGTAAGCTGAAGTGATTTCATCTGGACTGCTTCATCAATGTGTTATTGATAGTTCAGCCAATCGCCCTTGATCGCTTAAATGTGATCCATGTCAGTGGAACGAAGGGCAAGGGATCAACTTGTGCTTTTGTGGAATCCATTTTGAGAAGAGTAGGCTTTCGCACTGGATTATATACGTTGGTTTCTTTTTTTTTTTCAACAATTCTGAATAAGGAGAACCTTAAAAAGTCCTTTATTGGAGTAATTAATTTGAAGAATGAGGACATGAAAGTTTCAAGGTTTCATGAAAGTTAACGAGGCGCGCGTAGCGCAGTGGTCGGAAGCGCGCTGCAATACACTTGGGATCGATTCCCGTGCTCCAGGCTCACCAAGCTCTCTATCCTTCCTGGGTTGGGAAATTGGTAACAGACTTGTCTGGGAGGATAGCAGCAGTGGCTTGATACATCGGTAGGCAGCTGCGAGTCATTGTAGGGGCCAGATATGCATTCAATCACCTCCAACGACGCTTAATGAAGTCGAATGCACGGCGCATCCCTCAGGGATTGATCAACGGTGGGAGCTTTATCCTTTTTTATCTATTTAATGCTTAGTGTTTTTTCTTTTCAAATGACTAACCGATAGATGTGATAGACACATTTCTTTGGATTCATACTCTTACTCTTGTTAGGGTGTGCATTTTCGTTATATATGCACAACCTCTTTCCAGCTCCCCGCATTTGGTGCATGTTCGTGAAAGAATTCGTATCAATGGCAAACCGATTAGTGAAGATTTATTTTCAAAGTACTTTTTCATCGTATACAACAAACTTAAGAAGGTAGGATTTGAGTGAAATAGATATCTTCGTTTTAGAACATTTGAGGATTATAATTCTAGCATGAGGTTGAAGATGGAATGCCAGGTTACTTCAAATTTCTTACTCTCCTTGCTTTCCATGTGTTTTTGGAGGAAAGTGTCGACGTGGCAATAGTAGAAGTTGGCATTGGTGGCGAGTACGACAACACGAATATTATTCAGTATGCCGTATTCGTTTCTGATTGTATTTTTAGGATGTAAGACTTTACAAGATTGTTTTAATACTACCTTTTACAAGGCATCCGATTGTATGTGGTGTGACCACCTTGGATATCGATCATACATCCCTGTTGGGTTCCTCATTACTTGAAATCGCATGGCAAAAGGCAGGAATTATGAAGAGTGGTGCACCGGTAATCGTCAGTCCTTCGTCAGAGGATGTTTTGTCCGTGATGAAGAGTCGTGCTTTGGAGCGTAGTGTGAGTTTACCGTATTCTTCCGGTATTTTTTAAATTTCAATTTATCGCAGTTAATGATCGTTAAGTTGTCTAATGAGTTTTTACCCATATTTAGACGGAACTGAAGGTTGCGCCATGTTATCAGTCATATTCTTATGCAAAAGGAAACATATCACCTGGGATTGCGGGTGACCATCAGAAGTGTAACATGTCACTAGCTTTGCAGCTATCAAGGGCCTGGTTGAAGCAGATGGGATTTGAGGGTTCGTCATTGACTTAGTAACTTGCGAAGACTCCAAATGTATAGTTGTGTACTACTTTCTTCGTTTAGCATCCACTTTTCCCGATGTCAAGGAGAACAACTGGGAAGTTGGTGAAGCTTTCAGCGTCCCAGCGACGATTGTTGAAGCGATAGAGTCATGTAATTGGCGAGGACGGTCCCAAATTGTTATTACAGATCGAGTACGCTATTATCTAGACGGCGCACATACTCCTAAAAGTATGGAAGTAAGATAACTTGTTCTCCCGTTGGAGACTGCATTCATTCAAATGGACTTCTTTCGTAAGATTGCTCGTTTACCGAAGATGCATAGGTGTGTTCGAACTGGTACTCAGAAGTCCTTGAAACTATCCCAACAAGGAGACATGTGCTTATTTTTCATTGCACGGCAGATCGAGATCCTTCCAATTTACTTCCATATCTTACAGTGAGTCTCCGAAATTTATACTGTTCAACTACACAAATGACTTACCTTTGATTGGAAACTTAGCAGGAAAAGAATATATTTTGTTGGGAATTTCGCAGCCGCAGTTCGTTTCGATGGTCAATAAACGTACTTTTCAGAAACATATGTTTGACTACTCGTTGTTTTGTCCAACCGTATTAAGTACGTTGCCAGACAAGAAGTGCGACGTCGCGAATTTCAACCAATCTGCAGCAGACCAGCGAGCTCGTAGTGATCAGTGTGCAACGACGTGGAAGAAAATTGGCACTGGGGTTAGTGCAATCGTTTTCCAATTCTAGTCTCTTCGTTCTCGTTAAAATCTTTCAGAAACAAACTCTTAACCTTGTTCTCAGGAGGTTCTGGTGTTTGATTGCATAACATCGGCTATCCAATGGGTAGAAAGACTATCGGACACGGAGAACTTGGAGGTCTTAGTCACAGGAAGCCTTCATTTAGTGGGCGGTGTTTTATCACTTATTGAGCCATCAGTGGAATAGATGGTCCCTTTCTTCCCATAATATTTATCGATACCGAGGGAAAATTTCTTCCACAAGTTTTTTAGTAGTATTTTAGAATGGGTGGAGTAAAATTGTGTTAAATTGTGTCGGTTATCTCTGTTATCTCTTCACTTCTTCGCTAACTCGTTGCTAAATTGTTCTATTCCATTCTCGTTACTGACTAGCTTTAAACCGATATGTGTATATACATACATATACATATACATATATGCACTATGCACAACTATAATGCATATATATATATATATATGTATATATACATATAGTTGTGCATAGTTGTTTTATTTCTTCTATTCGGATAGATGTGTATAGAATCCTTTATATAAAAGCAATAGGATGTTTTGCTTGTTTACCGTTCATTTCGAATTTGCAGAAAATTTTTATCTACCAAACACTTGGAAGATTCTTGACTTTGATACTTTAGAAATTCATTTTTCGTTTCGTTGTTTTAATTCCAGCTTATTTCTACTCACTCGGACTTCTGCTGTGACACTAAATGTTGAGTATTTTATAACAAACATTTTATTCCCAAACAGTTCCATATATGCCTTGAATGTATACTTCTACACAGCCATAAATCATTTCCAACACACAAACTGTTGTATGAATTGATCTCGATGCATCCTTCCCAGTTGTCAGTTTTGATGCACAGAGCATAGTGCTACAGTTCTTATTCGCAAACGATGACTTGCTTAACACATATTGTACGTGGTCCATGAAAGACCACTCCTTCTTAACAGTTTACAAAACCCGCACCTCGACATTGCTGTTGTATTTCCATACTGATGACTGACGCTCAGGGGCACTTTCCATCCACATTAAGACGGGAAATCATTAGAGAGATTTGTGTCGAGATGATTTCTGCATGTAACGGAGCTATCTGTTCACACAGTACGCATATCTACGTGTTTAGTGGTATCGTTGGAAGCAATGGATATCTGCAAGTCTTGTTCTCGCAACATCGCTCGCAACATCGCTGGCAATCGCGTCGCAGCTGAAGTACGGGAGAAAGCAGCGGTAGCGATCCCGTTCATTATGCGGACGACTCAATTCACCTTGACGCTGATTCATTCCTGCCTATGGTCGACCAAGAACTTCATTCTTTCGGAGTCGAGAAATTGGTAGCAGACTTGCTTGGGACGAGCCCACTCCGTTCAATCCACGTGGAAACGCTCTAGCGCGGCTATCGCAGGATTCTAAGGGAAATCGACTGGACCAGCATTCAACGACATTCATAACGAAAATACCTTGAAGCAGCAGCCGAATTTACGCGCAAGAAGTTTGAAGGTTTTCGTGGATGGCGGATGCGGGGAAACGAATCAAATGCTAGGAGCGCTGGAAGCCGCACATAGCGTGACGCACATGATGTCGTGTGGTTGTCACAGCATTTCAATGATATAGTATTGAATTTCTTGCGGAAATTATTGAAATATCCCAAAGAATATTTGTCGCATTGACTGCATCTATTGTTCGCCTATTCGGCACTTCATCAGCAGATCTGGAGTCATAAAATTTTGTTGACTCCTTACAACGGCCAAAACAACGTCTGCATCCTTTCTTGATAAGAGTTTCTCTTCCGGGGAAAATGGCCAAAACAACGTCCAGATCTCTTCTTGATCAAGGATTCCGTTCCAGGGCATGGGCCATTAAAGGTGAAGAAGCATAACCGCGTGAAATGAAACCGAGATGCACGTGGAATTTAAACTCGTCAAAATCTACTACTCGATCCTGGGTGTTGCAATGTGATGTACAGCGGCGACTTTATGCTACTCCCTTTACCACAGCAGCGTTTCCCAAGCGTAAAAAAAAACAGTTCCATCGGGAACTGTAATTACTGTAATCTAGCGAAGATTGATCCATGAGATATTCCATGAGATCCATGATAAAGATAGAGATCAGGGTTGAAATATATTTCAGACTGAGTCCAGTTGATAACCTATGGACCATCGACTCGGATCATTGGCTGTGATGAAAACGAAACCGTCGAAAGGTTAGCTGAATAGCCGAATAAAAGATTACGTATCAACCTCGTGTAAGCTTATCAAACAAAGGTTACAAGTTGATAAAGTTCACCCTCCGACCAAGGAGCGATCCTGGGTGTTGCAATGTGATGTACAACGGCGACTTTATACTACTCCCTTTACCACAGCAGCGTTTCTCAAGCGTAAAAAAAAACAGTTCCATCGGGAACTAGAGCTAACAATAAACCAATCACCACAACCATTTGAGGAAGCACAAAACTCCTAGAGGAACTTCTGCATTGGCTAATCTTGCTATTGTTTAGGGTTTTAGAAGTCAGTCAGTTATCATTCACTTGAATACCTCAACTCATACTTACTTTGTGGGATTGGTCCCATATGATGAAGACGCAGATGATATGAATAATGAAGTAACCCAATTGAAAGAAAGCACGTGCACGTATTGATGGAAAATTCCTATCAATCTTGCTGACGACATCGTCGCTTTTCCAAGAAGTACGATAGCTGCGCATAAATTAGACGAAAATCCAGCATGTAAAAAACCCATAGTGTAAGCCCGAAAAAATCGAACTGGATGGCCCTATATCATGGAGACCACCTCGCACGTATACCATGAGCATTCAGTGCAGGCGGAGAACCACATGCAGGAAGAGCTACAGAGAAAAGGGAGAGCAGCACGGGCTGCGGTGACGCTTCTCGGAGAAACCGTCGACCGACTAGCGGAACCGAAACTCGCACTTAGCTTCCCGAAACTGTCCTTCCAGTGCTGTATGAAGCAGCGGAGACGTTGAAATCAAATCACTTAAAAGCGAAACACGGACGAACAAATCATAGCAGATTACGATGAGAATAGCTGGAAATCTGTGGTGTCCCATGAATGTGTCGTAATATACATTGATGAACGTGAACTGAGAAGGTCTAGTGCTGCTACTTACTCCGAACGCACTTGTAGACGTCTTCTCCATGATATGCACTCACCAGGTAGCGAGATGATTTCTAAGCGTTTCAATGCTTCCTTGAGCAGTAGCAGTCCAGCTAGCGGAGATTTCATTGTACTCTCGCCATCAGAAACAGTCTCGATGGGACCCAGGTGGACGGATAAACTCATTAGAAAAAACTTCTTGGGGATTGTGATGGCTAGACGATAGCTTTCCATGGACGTCGACTGATTCAATTTCTGCAATGGAAAGTTATCGATCAGATTGCAAAAAGTGTAGCGAGAAAAAAATCGTGTATAGTAGGATAAACAACTGAGAAGTTGCATTCCAATCAATGCATGTCGTCGAATTTGCCTCAATGTACGGATGCATGTGAATCAATTCATATCCTCACGAATGTGTGAACCTTATGCGCGGTCCACCAGGTCGTGGCGTTTTCAGTTTGTTTCAAAAGTTTCGTATAAAAATTCGAGGAAACAGATTGACATCACGTGTTCACATTCCAAAAAGCTTGCATTCAACACACGGAACTGTCTGTCTAGAACAGTTTCAAGCTTATCTGCATTTTCACCTTATCGGAATGCTTTTCATAATGACGAATGCAATGGCATGTCTCATTTGTGTAGTTGATTCCACTCTGATCGGCGGTAGCTGTACGAGGATGCCAGTAAAATCTAAGATACGTCGATGCCTCTTATTGAATGGGGACGTTCGTTTTCTATGCACTAGTTTTAGGACGCAGTGAGTGGAGGCAGACGCATTTCTAATGAAGGTGAGTGAAATCGATTTTAGTCGATTTCATGAGTGTCACTGCCACTCCTTGTCTTAAATCGGACGAATCCTGTTTTAGAAGGACGATCCAAAACTGCAATAACCGTATCGGAGGAAGAGGACTCCTCATGCTCGGACTCCATCGTAGTTATTAAGGATGATGGCGTTCATGAGGATGCATTAAAGGTTTAAATCATCGATGAGGAATTTGCTTTGTAGCTCATCTTAACGTTTAGGTGATACTTGGGAAGCTCACTCGAATGGGCGTTCATAATCAGATGTTGGATAGCAAATTTGTCGCGTTCAATGTAGTCGTTGGTTATGTAACCACGTACGCCACCTATGCAAGATTTTGCCATTTCTTGGATATTTACGGCAGTAAGTTATCAGCCTGGAGTTATTAACATTTATCACAGCTAAGCTGCACAGAACCTTCCAGTCATCGCCACCATTACCACTGTGATCTAGTCCTTTATAAAAAAAAACTCTAGGATACTGTTCCGCATGTTTTCGCATAGCTTGTTAGTTTTTACTGGATTCTGTAGCAGCTTCAATTAATTTACTGATCTCCCGTCTTTTTGGGCTTCGAAAAAATTTTCCTAGATTCCCATGAAGCTTGGCTTATCCGGGAACATGGAATTTGTAATTGATAGTGTTAACCCTTTTTATCGTCGTAACACGACTACAATCGAGAAATCAGTGGTGCGGATATGTGCAGCTAACTACGGGCTAAAACTAAAACTAAAGGCTAGGTAAGGTGCGTGTAGCGCAGTAGTAGGAGGCGCGCTGCAATACAAGTGGGATAGATCCCTCACCCCAAGCTCACTAACCCTCCCTCCCCCCTCTCTACGGGGTCGGCAAATAGGAAGATAGCAGCACTGGCTCGATACATCGGTAGGCCACCGCGAGCCATTGTAAAGGCCAGCTATGCATTCAATCACCTCCAACGATGCTTAGTGAAGTCGAATGCATGGCGCATCCTCAAGAGATTGATCAATGCCGAAAGTTTTCTTTCTTCTTTTTAGCTTTTAGTGCTAACGTTCTTAGTGTAGTCTGGTCTAATGACATATTCAATATTACTTCTTAGATACATCGACGGCCCGTTCTCACTAGCTGTTCGGGCCCCAGCACAGTCTCCACTTTTCAGAGTTGCTGGCCAAGCCATGGTGTTGCTCCGGAGTCCCGAGGTCAGCTTTGCCAAAGTCTGTCCCAGGTCGTAACCACCACATGCAGTCGCAGCCCTTCTGGATCGAAGGGAGATTTTCCACTATGCGACTAGTTTGATATCAAG